TAAATTGTCATGTCAGTAGCTATTTAGTGCGTACTCAAACCTTATATATTCAATCTGTATATATTTTTCAATAAAAAAAATGTGTAATTTGTGTAATCACGACTTGAAATTATAATATACATTATATTATAATATAAATTATAATATACAAACAAAAAATGATTTTATGTTATAGTTATGACTTATTTTAAGAATAAATTATATATCTGCAAACTTCTTTTTAAACACTGTATGATTGGTTCAAATTTATAAAAAATTAAATATTTTCATAAAATTTATATTATACACATTACTATATAATCGCACATGACTTTGTTAACATATGTCTTCGAGTTCTACTATTCAAGTATAAAGTTATAAAAACAGTCCAGTTTTTGGATTATAATTTCATTTTAGCATAACATAATAACTCTTCATATCATATATATTTATTATATTTATATATATATTTCATTATATTGATGCGAATATTATGTGTGTTATTATTAATCATTTAACGTTTGTGTTACAATCGTTTAGTAAGACAAATGATTTTTATGACATTTTTTTCTAAGTTCCAGAGTTTTAACTTCGAGTTTAAGATAACTGAGATACTCAGAAAATACTCAATATAGGTAGCATTTTCTAGGTATTGTACAAAAACTTTATAAGGAAATTACTCAAGTTATAATGTATATTCTCATTACCCGGACTAATAAATTAACTCTGATTAGTATAAATAGAATTCTTATTTAAACAATAATTATTGAAGTATAGAATGGCTTCGCGAAAATTTATTTTAAAATTTTAAAATATAAAACTACGTAAAGCTGGTTTTATATATTTTGATTTTTATTGCATCATAGATATTGTAGATAACAAGTTAAAAGAATATTTGTTTAAAGCTTTACTAAGAGAATTGTAAAAATAAAACAAAACTGCAAGTTTAATATAATTAAAATAAACAGTGATTCATTATTATCTTTTTCAGAGATACGTAGTACGTGATACGTACTTTCAATTTGCACCATTCATAAATTGAAAAAAATTCTGTTTACCGCATTCTATAATATAACAATTTTTTTAATTGATAAATTGTAAATTTTACACTTTGAAAAATAATTTTTAACTTTAAAATGATTGATTAATTTCGTCTTTGACTGTAAGTAATTATAATTATAGGACTTGTCATATAATTTCAGTAATTTTAATTTAATATACTATGTACTATACATGGAATAAATAAAACAAAAGCAACTTATGCAGTTATTGCACTAAAATTTTTTAAACAACTTTATCTTTTTAATTTCTCAATTTATTTTAATTATTTAATATAATTAAGATAGAGACATGTTTTCTGACTATGCTCAAATTAGGATTCTTAACAGATTATGTGTTTAGTCTTTCCAGAACATAGCATTTATTTTGGCAGTTTTCAATGACAATGACATAATCTGCCTTTGCGTCTTAGGGAATACCAAATATGATTGATATTCTTACTGAACGTAAATTTGTTGAATATTGTTTTCCTTTTACCACTTAAACCAGACAAGGCAAAGCAGTGTTCCTTAGTAATAAATTTCAGAATTTGCGCCTTTTAGGAGCAAATTACTACAATTTTGGAGCACTTTTTGCTTTTAAGGAATAATTTTGTAAGAACTATTAAGAATTATTATAAGATAATAACATAATAAATTAACATTTTTACAGTCTGTATAAGTTTTTTCTTGCTTGTTATTTTTGGTGGCAAATTGAAAGTGAGCATATCTACATTTCCTTTCAAATTTAGGCGCAATCAAAAAGTACCAAAACATTGTAAAAATACGAAATTGGCAATACTGATGTGATAATCTACATAACATGCATTTTCGGCATAGCCCGAAAGAGCCAATTTTAATATTATTTAAATATATTATTTGATTGTTTTATTGTATTATTATATTAATGACTTTTTGATGTCTATAGCTTCAAGTTAGGAATGAAGTTTAGATAATGGTCATATATAAATTCTTATATATAATTATTCTTATATATGAAATATATTTACGAATATGTATGTCTGATTTAAGTATTACGCCAAATTGTAAAAAAGTAACTTAAAAAATATAATTAGCTTGTAAAAATATATATAATCCATAAATATACAAAAATAAAAAATACTACTTAGTACATCAGTCCCAACACTATCATTGGGTAGATTAAATTTTTTGGTCTTTTAAAAAGATTTAAGTTCAATTCTTATAGTAAGTTTGAAATTTTCCAACAAAAAAAAAAATATGTATTAGAAAATTTAGTTCATTGATAATTTATATATTTACTTTTAAATTAATAACTAAACGAAATAGTATAATTTTTTCATATTTCATTATTATCAGATTTGTGCTTAAAGAATTCATCTTAATAAAATTTATTAACATTGTACTGTTCAGAAAGACTGCATAAATTTGGGTACGACGGATTAGTACCTGTAACGCAACCAGTACCGGCAGTAGGACAATCACCATAAATTGGAAAATCAACGATATTTGTAGTTGCATAATTACAAGCAATCAGAAAAACTTTATATGAATTAGGTTTTGAATAAGTCAAAGCTGCACATCCCACGTGAGTATTTCTATCCGCCACCATAACTGTAAAATGGCCAATTTTACTAAAGAAGAGATTGAATTAATAGCTTGATATGTAAATATAATTAAAAAATAAGCTAAAATCTACTTACAACAGAATTGAATTATCTGAAGGAAATTTTTGTATATATTTCATATTACTGTCTTTGTATTCCCCGAACCATAAGTCCACTGCTCTTGTTGATAAGGTTTGGTAATTTGGTTCATTCCAAAAGCCAATATAAGCTAAGTTTTGCCCAGAATATTTGAAAGCCACTGTATTGTGGCACGAGTCATGTTTCATGACACACTGTTTCACATTTAAGGCAGCAAGTGAGGACAACTCATCGTTCCACTGCATAGTAGCCATACGACATGCTGGACTGTGATTTTCTACATTACCACCAGCCACGGAATTACGTTTGCTATTGTGTGCATCGAGGAGTAGATTTTTGAGTTCAGGTGTTATGTTAACCAGTGCTGCATCTGAAGCACAATCAGCAGCTTTTTCCTACAGGAATAACATTAAAACACACTTTTATAGAAGCTATTTTTAATATAAATACGTTTATAAATAATTAGAATAAATTTTTACTCCATTATTATTGCAAGCTATGTGGTCATTGCATATGTCACAGTAGTTGGTATTGCTCAAAACGCCTAAGAAAAGATGGGTGCTAAGTAAAACGTAAACAGCAAAACGAGTCATCTTCCTTGGAGATTAAAATTTTTTCAATTTTTATTTTTAAATTAATTTTTTTTATTTTTTAATACTGTGCTTGAAGCTTTAACGAATTTTTCAGACTAAATTGTTTGTTCCTGATTTAACTGCTTTTATTCTGGCAGTGTGCATCATGTAACAAATTATACTCACCGTTCATATGTTTTATCTTTTAGGAAAGCAAAAAATAATTAATAAATAAAAAAAATGACAACAAAAAAAATATATTATTTATTTAACAAAAGCTTAGATATTTCTGCCGGTCTGTACCTCAACACCACTTTTGTGGTCTGCAATGTTAATAGTAATATTATAAACATTTAAGTGACTAATACGATAAAAGTTGTATTTAAATGGAGAAGACGGAAAATATATTCTATTGCTTGGAGAGAAAATTATGTTTCAAGCCATTGCCTTCAGAAACATCGCTAGTACTTATAATTGCATTTAGAAGGCATTGGGTAGATAGAAACGCTAGCGTAAGTATAAATATTTAATTGAAAACATAATAGAAAATTTTATTGCTATTTATTCATGATATTTAATTCATTGTTAATTGTTAATATAATATTATGTTTAAGACAAATTATTGCCTTCAATTATCCATAGAAATACAATATTCGTACAATGTATGGGTGTATATAAAAAATATCTTATTTTTGCCATCATATTTTCTAAAACAATTAAAGCCAATTGGTTACAGTGATTATAGCGTATAAACGGTTTGCTTTGACCGACTGTAAAATTAATGATTATTAAAATTATCTTTGGTACTGAAAACGTATACAATGTAAGTTTTACGATTCTAGTAATACATACCATAAGATATTAAATTTATTTTATCAATTTTATTACTCTATTCAAAGAAAATGAAATTAGGAATGCATTCATATCGTCAGGATTATTTATTGCACTATCCACAAAAACTTAATATAAATAATAATAAATTTTAAAATTTCTATATATATTAGTATATAAAAATTTCAAATTATTTACTCTTATATCTTGATTTATTCAAATAAAAAAAACGGTCATATTAGTACTCGTAACTAAGTATTGTATAATATTCTACCAATATATAAACTATAAACTCAAAAAACAAGATTGCTACTACGAAGTATTAGATCATCAGCAACTATTTTTTTATATCTGTAACTCTATTCTGAATAAAAGCTTTATTAAGTTCAACAAGATACTCGTCATGTGGGGAAGGCGTTGCAGATCACATAGGTAGACCACATTTCTTTTTAATATTATTGTGAATTAGGACTGTTGCAAGTTCATCAAGATATTTTTCATATAGGCAAGGAAATGTTGCAGATTATATAGACAATTCTTACACATTTCTTTTTATGGAGAGATTCAGTCTGATTAATTTTTTTCTACAACTTTTGACCATCTCTCTTACTATTAATTGTATTCTTTACAATTTATTTAAGAATACAATGTTTGAGTTAAGCAGACATTATTCATCGTTAAAAAATATGTATTCAGTCTGATTAATTTTATTCTACAACTTCTTTAATATTTTCAAAAGAATTTAATGTCTGAGTTAACCAGACATTATTCATCGATAAAAAATATATATTCAGTCTGATTAACTTTATTCTACAACTTCTTTAATATACTCGATAAAATTCAATGTTTGAGTTAACCAGACATTCATCGATCAAAAGATATTTAGTAGTAAAAGTTTAAATAACTGAGTATTTAGTCTATTTAAACATTTTTGAATTTTTTTTAGAAACATTGGGCTTGAAGTTGTAACGCTGAAGAATAATTGTTTAAATGTTTGGTGTAATGTCTGTACAGTGAAAGCTCTGTTTAACCGACACTCTTTTAACTATGCAAATGTGTTAAGTTTCAGTTTTTATTTTGAAAAAATGTATGCTCTTTCATAGAGACAGTCCAATTAATCGGTGAGAATAGTTGATCATCTTAGTTTTCACTTAAAAGAACTTGTACCATATATATGCATACGCAAATGTATATATATTTATATGCTGAAAGCCGCATATATCTTTTTAGTTTTAAAATAATCACGTCTATGGGCTATGCTTTTTGATATTTTTGTATGAAAGAGTCTGGTATTAAGCGCTCAGCTCGTTTAGCGCATTGCTTGACTTTTCCAGGCTTTGCCTCTCTGCGACGTAGGTCCTCCTACACGTCATTTCTGCAAAACGCAGAGCTACGATCTCAGTTGCATCAAGTAAAAATTCATGCGAGTGTGGTTGTCACATATGTGTTTGAAAGTTTATATCAAAATTAGCTCTGTTTTGGGTTTTTTGGAATAAAGTTTTAATATTTAAAATATCGAAAAAGAAAATAAGTTAAACAAATGCTAACGTTTGAACAAATAACTTGATTGTGTGATATTATTGTTATTAAAATATAATTCAAACTTTTGACTGATATGCATATTATAAGCCATCATAAACTTCATTAATTGAACACAAATGAGTAAAGTTGGCATTTCTACCGGTTTTGCAATCATTACCAGATCCACCTACTTGATATGCCGACTTTCCTACTATATTTGTTGTAGCATAGTTGCATGCAATTAGCGTTCGAAGATATTCACCATTCATATAACGTATTGCACCACAACCAACATGTGTATTCCGATCAATTACCATAGGCAGAAAGTGTCCAATTTTCCTTATAAAGAAAATATAAAAAAATATAAAAATATTGAAAAAAAATATAATGAAAATACAATAAAAAAATTGAGTAAAATATTTACGGTCCTCCATATTTTTTGGGAAATTTATATATAAACTGCATGCCAGCATGTTCATGTTCATTCCACCAACGATTTATACGATTTTTAATAATCCAATCATCTGAATAGACTTTATTTTTTAAAGTATGACCAAAATAACCCAAATTTTGACCGGATTGTCTAAAATCCTTTGTATTGTGGCACTTATCATGCTTCTGGACACATTGCATAGCATTCAAGGTAGCAAGTTTTGCTAGTTCATCATTCCATTGCATACTGGCCATACGTGTGGCTGATAAGTAACCATTCAGATCGCCTCCAGCGATTTGATTACGTTTGGTATTATGCTCATCGAGAATAGTTGTGATAAATGGAGAAAGATCAATCACATAAGCATCAGTTGGACATGCTGATGCCAATTGCTTTATAAAATTGTTAAAAACTTAATTAATAAATTTTAATATTATATATTACTTACAAAAGTGTTCTTGCAGGCAATATGTTTAATTCCTGATGGACAAATTCTTGGCACACAGTAATCAGTTGCATCTACTCTCCACAAATTAATTATTAAAACTAAAATAAAAGTTAACTTCATTATGGTTTAAAATGCGTAATCGTTGTGACTTAACTATAGGTGTAGTATGTTTCATTACTGAATTTTTTATACTTTGTTAGAGTTCTAAACGGAAGAATATCTTAAATTCATAAAATATATTCATTTCATCTGTGCAAATAAAATTTTAAATATCTATGGATTGTAAAGTACGTAGCAAGTATTAAGTGAGCTGGGAACCTTATAAATATTCTGTTATTTAATGTTTATGGTTTTCTATCAGTTATTACATTAAACCAATGATAAATATAAACTATAATTTTTAATTTCAAAATTCAAGTTCCCTAAAGTAAGCTTAAGTTGCAGTTTTTAGGGGACTATAATGTGAATATATATTTAAATTTTAAAAGCATCTTTGGGCTTTAGCTCAGTTGACTAATGAGTATTGACTCTGAGCTTCAATTTTGACAGGGCATGGGATCACCCCTTGGTACTTATAGTCGCAAAAACTTTATTTAAGAACAACTAAATGTAAGAAATAATTTCAAGAGCACTGATGATGGGTATTTGGCAATATTCGAAACAGCTGTATCTATACTATGACTATAGTCAGGTCAGCCAAGAGTTCAATTAATCATTAATTTTGGCATAGTATGAGTCAACTCTTGGTGCTTGCAGTTTCAAAAAATTATTTACGAATAATTAAATATAAGAGATAGTTCCAAGACTTGGGCTTTGGGTCAGTTGACTAATGAGCACTGACTCTGAGCTTCACAATTGGCAGGGCATGAGATCAACCCTTGGAATCAATTTAATTATAATATTTCAATATATATATTATATATATATATATATATATATATACTATATATATATAATATATATATATATTTATATATATATATATATATATCAACATTATCTGTGCTATCTTCTTTTCCATATTTATGTGGCACTAGTGTTGTAGGTTGCATGTACTACTGTTTTAGTTTACTTCAGATATATAGGATAAAAGGGTACTAAGTCTAAAACCAGTCATAATGTAATACTTCAACATAAAAGTTCTTTACTTACATATACCCATCACATTTGCTATCCCCATTTACTTATTTTATTTAAAATAAGGTTTTACACATTTGGAACCCTCAAAAATTCAAAATTTATAATTCCCCCGGAATGCAAAATTTGGAAATCCTTGCTTGCTTGTTGTTATTGTTCTAACCCGTAGTCACCTCCAACATTAATAGATTACAAGATACATATAATGGCCAAGATGGGATGTGAGGAAAAGAAGTGGTGAGAGGGCTATGTGGGATGTAACGATGATGAAGGTTTGGTAGAATACTCTGCTCGGTGCATTTATATTGCTTTAGTTGGAACTAAGAAGTATTTTCTATGCGTGAATCGTTCATTGATGACGAGTGAGTTGGATAATTAAATTTGGCCACTCCTAAAATAATGTTTGTTTTAGCAGCATTAAACGGCTAAAATTGTTATTAGTTATGTTATATTTGTTCTGGATAACAACGAACCATTTTATCCAAGTATGTGACAACTTATTTTTTTGAGATCGCTATTATAGGGAAAACTATTAAAAAAGGATGTATTCATGAACGCACATTTCTCTTAATCGTGCAATGTTGAGGGTTTCCAGTTTTTATTTTGTGTACCATTTATTTATTCATACAAAATATCTAGTAACATCGCTTATAAGTGCTTTTACTGTATATAACCATTACAATTGATTTTTTTGAGAAATTAGCACATTTTATTGTAATAGAAATCTTTGAAATTAAGATCTTTAGTCAGGCAAGCATAAATCTAAATTGAATTGGTACCATTGCATAGTCGGTTAAATACTGAATCTTATAAGAATTCAGTATAAGAATTTAATATAAGAATATAAGAATGTTATACCGGGTCCTATGAGATCTATTGTGCTTTGTTGTAACGTATTCTTTGGCTTAAGCCAAATGTAAGTATAGAACTATTATATGGAGAGCGATAACGAGTTTAGTAGTTTAATTGCAATTTAATACTTTAATTGTTCTAATTGTTAATCGTTGTGGTTAAATTATATTTTGCTATTAATTGATTTAATTGTTTGGAATATTTTTTCATAAATATCAAATTCAAAACAAATTAACTTGATTAATTCAAACGCGCGCGATTTTAACAGAACTGGTTTTTTTCTTTTCATTTTTACAAAAACTTTAACAATAAAAAGTAATAAATTAATATATATTGCTAATACTAAAAATAAGAATAAAAATAACTAATAACCGCAAATAAAATTTAGCAGAGATGGTACTTGAGATACAGCAGCAGCCAAACGCAACTGACTAAATGGAATTACTTGTAAAAACCAAAATTATTGTTATGATAATTTTATATTTAATTTTTCTTAGTGCCAACCTAAGGAGTTAATGGAGATAATCATTATTACGTAGTTGTGAAAACCGAAATTAATTTTATAGAAACAATATATAAATAAAAATACTGTATTTATTGATAATTTGATGGCAGTTATTATTTATTTATAAGAATATTAATCAATAATAATTATTTATTTATAAGAATATTAATCAATAATAATTATTTATTTATAATAATATTAATAAATAATAATTATTTATTTATAATAATATTAATAAATAAAAATTCTGTTAGTAACTGTTAGGAATATAATGGATATAGCACTGTTTTGATATAATATATTAAAACTCCAGATTTGATTATGGTTTAATGAACTGGCCAACTGTTATTTTTATTAAAATATTATTATTAAAACAATTTCTTGCAAATTAATATATTTAAATTCTAAGTAAAAAAACATTTATCTATTATCAGTGAAGACGCGTCTCGGGCGCTAATTATGATTGACATTTGATTTGTATGCACTTTCTTATAGGAAATATAAAGTAAATTCGACAATAATAATTGCGTGCAACGCATATATAAATTAAATAAAAATATGTAAAGTAACACTATTGCATATAAACATTTAATAAATTATTATAAGTTTTAGTATAAAATAAACTACATCTACATATGACTACACTGTGAAAAATATTGTAATTACATATCTTACATTAACACTTAGTATTCTAAAAGGTATAAAAACTAGTTATAAAAACTGCTACAAACTATTTAAAAAAAACTTGAATTATAACAAGTCATATTTTTCCTTAATTGAGCATAAACTTTTAAATACAGGATTTGGGCCAGTTTTGCATCCGGACGCACTTTTTCCTTTTATATAAACTGGATGATCAATA